CCTCGCCTCTCTTTGTGGAGTTAGATTCCAAGTTCTCATCTAAAACAAAAACTGAAAGAAACAAGCATAAAATCAGTGGAAAAGTTTGTTCAAGAACATACAAATAAAGAGTGAGGTAGCAACTGGCTGTGCAGAGCGAGCTTGGGCCTAGCAAAAGGAATAAAAGCAAAGAAGATGCCCTGGAGAAAACAGAGAGGACAGTCATGAAAAAATTAAACTGGCACACTCTGCTTGGTGTCTGTGCCCTTTATCCTGTCCAAATAGGAAAAAAACCCATGGGACCTTCCACATCCTTCCCTGCAAGTTGGTGCTGGGCTCTCACTCCTCAAGCGAACTTTAGATCTATGCCATCATTGGGAATTTGCTCACGTTCTGGAAAGAAGTCCAGGGCCTTGGAAACTGTTCTGCATATGTGTCCAGGCTCTTATAATTAACAGCTCATGCCTACTACTCCAGCCAGTTTTGCTACACCTGAATCTGCTATGGTAGTTACAGTTTAAAAGAAAATAACTTTAAGCCAACATCTGATGTTTATCTACCCAAATAAAATGTATCCATTGCTTTTATATTTGAATGCCTCAAGGTGAATCTAAATTATTTTTAATTTCATCTTTTTCTTATTTAGAGAAAAAAGCAAAACAGAAAAAAGGGTAGATATAGTAAAGAATTTCAAAAAACACAGTAAGAAATCACTAGCTGATAAATTACATATTGCTATCTTAAAAGTAGTTGCTCAACTCATAAAATCAAAGCATAAAAAATGAACAAACAATGAGAGTACAAATCATTCTATTTGATAAGATAAAAAAACTTAGTAGTATGGTTATCTATCTTGTACCCTTAATCATACATACATGTCCTCTGTAGTTCATTCAGTTTAATATTTTTGACAGTCTTTTCTTTTTATCATAATTTCTATGTATTATGTTTGATTTTTTTCCCCATCAAATCACTGTCTCACACCTCTTTTTAACTTTATATTTACTTTTGACATAATTGGTCTATGCTATAAACTGTGGCACAATCATTATTTGATGGGATTTCTGTCTGAATATTTATATGATAGAAATATTTTGAATCCAGACAAAAGGAACTAGTAACATCTGTCATAGAATCTCTACTGTGATCTTTCTGATTTAGTGGTAGAAGAAATCTGACTTGGCTTTAGTGAAGAAGAAGATGAGTGAGGAAAAATATTGTGTTACTTTATTAAATAAGCCCTTCTGTTTAGATGATACATTTTATTGTGAATAGCTCACAATTATAGACAGAAAAATTCTGGGATTGTATCACAATTTGTAGAACCATCGTTGATTTCCAGGGGGACCGAAAATTGGTGCAATATTTTGAAAATACCATTCACAGGTAGTCTGCAAAACAGCTGGACCAATAGCTGATCCATCTAGATACTTGTTTTTCGTTTTGTTTTAAAATAAAAAAAGTAATCCATTATTAGTAAGTGGCCAAATGGCCTCATTGTGGCCCTTTGAGTTTTTATAGCTATAAAATCACAACAAATCTTCGGCATAGATTGGAATGCATAGAAATAAGTGGATCATAGATATAAAGCTCCTGGAACTCTCTGTGAGACTTAGTAAGAATTAGATGTGTATTTATTATTATTATTATTAGTCCTTATTTCACACCAGAAATGTACTAGATATTGTGAAATATGCAAAAATACATTTTGTTAGTCTTGCCTTTAAGATGTTCACAATCCAGTCAAGAAATTAAATATAATGTAAAAACCAGAGTACTGGGTAGGATGTAATTAGGTGCTAAATACTAAGGCAGATAGTATAAAGACTATGGAGATCATGGAAAATATACATGAAGGGTAATGCCATTATGGTAGGAGCTGTCCTTATAACAAATACTTTCAGTTGTTGTAAATCAGAGCAGGATAATTTAAACTAGAAGTTCACATTTATCTCTTCTCATTATGCATGACATAGATGAGTATCTGACTTTCACATATTTTTTCATTTCTTAAATCTAATTCACTATTCAACCCTCCCCACAGTGGCCATGAAATCCACCTTCATAAATTTAGGATAAAATCCCAAACTCTCATTGAGACAAAAAAAGTACAAAACAAACAAACAAACAACTCAGAAAAATATATGGCACCAGCCTGCTTCGCCAAGCATCTAATGCCCACATGCTTTTTAATTGTTTTCCTTCAGGTCTGAGAGCAGGCAAACTCTTCTCTTCTCCTGCTCCTCTGCCTGAACGCTCCACCCCGACCCCCGTCCCTACATGTGACTTCTTAGCTAGAATGTCATAACCCTTAGGCAGCCCATCCTCAACTCTCTCGCCTTCAGTACTGAGCCCTCATATCACTGCTACCTCTCATGTGGTGCTTCGTTGCACTGACATGTGCATTTCATCTGTTTGAAAAAGATTTTAGTGACCATTTGTCTCTCTCTGCCAGCACAATAGTAATTTCCTGAAGACAGTAAATATATTCATCTTGTTCATCATTAAATCACAAACTACAATGAAAATGTACTGCAAAATGGACAGGGACTGGGATGTATCTTCATGTTGGAGTACTTGGCTAGCGTGTTTCAGGGCTTGGATTCCATCCCTGGCAACAGAATACATAAATACGTATGTACTGTCTTGTTCCATTTTTACTTCCATTTATTTTGTTTCTCTAGGATAGGAATGAAGTAAAATTAATCCTAAGCAGTAATAGATCTTGAACCCATTTTCCCTGATTCCTAAAGTGGTTGAGGCGCCTATCCTCATCTCCTGTGAAGATTTTCCCTATACTTTTATTTCCTCCACAAACCTTTATTCATTTTAATAAACTCCAACTACCTCTTACCTCTTAGTACCTCTTTTAACTTACACTTTGTTCTTATTTTCAGTGTAAAGTGTGCAAAAGTTTCCTACTCTGATGACCGGTCATAAAAAAAATGAATAAATGGGATTTTTACAAACATGTTCCTCTTGGTTTAAATTATTGGAGGATTTTTTTTTTTTAAACAGAGAAGCAGTGGGTTTTTCCTCTGCTCAGCTCTTATAACACGTGACTCTAACTAAAATGATTAGCAATGGATTCATAAGATAACAGCATAACCAGGATTTACAAATATGAAATAATGCAGTATATTTTGATGTCTTATCATACAGTAAGGATTCTTAAGAACTGATGTTTAACTGCAAATGCTTTGGTCAGAAATGGGCTATTTTTAGTCATCTTCTGCAGAACTATGATTTATTTCATACAGTATTACTGTTTTCTGACCACCAGCAGGTTCTGAAATGCACATAACTCAGTCTAATCCAAGTAGATGGCACAGGAGCTTAAATCTAGTGCACAAAGTTCATTCATGAGAACAAAACCTGCCAACAGGCTCAGAGATTTTACTTAGGACAAGTAAAATATACTATCCACTTGTATCCACCACCTGCAGTATCTCATCTCTAATTCTTTTTTCTGTCTAGTATTTAAGGCAATAGATAATTGGATCTTAGTTCTGAACTTTCAGGGAAAGAAGCAGAGCCACAGAGCGACAAGCCTTCTCCCTGTGTGAGAGGACTATAATCTGAAGAGTCACCACTGTGCTTATGCATTTCAAACAGGGACCTCTCCTCCCTCTGTCTCTCCCAGGAAATTTAGTTAAAAACTCCAGGTTTACATAAAACATCATGCAAATCTGCTTTTTAAACAAATGAGGAGGGGGATATGCTTGAATGACTTTGTTTCAGAACTTCAGATCAACTTAGATTTGAATATTGGAACTAAATACCATTTGCACTGCTTTGTTAAAAGTCCCTATTGTATATGTTCATCAGATAAAAGTAACTTATTTTGCAAAATATTAGAAGTTCATAACATATTTGGGTTTGCTAGCATAATTTTAAGGAAGAAGAGCGAAAGTTGAGACAGTGAGAGAAAAAGAAAGAGAAGCATACACGTACATGCATATGTATATGCATATTTATGTGTGGATATATATATATATATATATATATATATATATATATATATATTACTCATGGACACAAACTGGCCCATTTCAAACTACCATATTATTAGCATTTCACTTCAGCAAAACTCAAAGAAAAACTTGCTTCTTTGTTCAGTTTTTTTAAAAATGAAAGCTGCCTCCAAAAAAACATATGTTACATATATTCATTTTCTCTGGATCCAAAAACACATTAAGTTGAAATCTAAATTAACTTTAGGAAAACTTATTAATGAGCTAGTTAAGATCATTCAGTGACGTTCTCAAGACCTCTGGAGACTGACACACTACTAAGCATTGCTTTTATTGCTCAAAACTGGATTACAATGCGTTGCCCTAAGTCCCTCTACAGAGACTCATCCTAAATTGTGGTGAGATTTATGCGCTCCCCTTCCCAAGTTCTGCTCCTTGTTGTAACTATAAGCTCTAGCTTCTCCCTTCCTATGCACCTGTCTCTGAATTGGGGGCCTTTGCTCAGCTGGTTGTTCAGTTTTCACATGGTTATCTAATATAGTTCTTTCAGGGCCACACTTAGCCAGGACTCTTCCCTCCTAAGTCCAGGAAACATGTCGCTTTCTTCCTAACCCTGGGCATCACTTCCCATCATGTGTCCCATTTTGTTTTACCTCCGTGTATTCATGTTTATCATTTAACTAGGTGCAACCCGAAGTCTGCCAAAGCATAACCCACATTTTTGTTCTTGATCGCTCTATTTACACCTGAGGACACTCCATAAACTGTTCTGAATGTCATTGCTCAGGATTCTCTCCACCTCTTCTCACGACGCCAGCCGCTTCTGAACACCAAACTGGCCTCATATAGAGTGAATCAGTTTTCTCTCATTTTACATTACTCAAGTGGGCTCAGCTCTCCACCTTTTCCCTGTATTCAGCAGGTTGACTGTTTTAACAAGTTTCTGTTTTATATTCCTGAGTGCCCCACACTTGAAGTGAGTGCAAGGTGACTTTGCTATAACTCAGCAGTCTTTTCAAAGATGTCTTTTTCCCCCTCCTTTTTTAGGTCCTGAGAACACTGTCATTAAGGGCTGAGAAGTGAAGATACATTAGATAAGAAAAGAGCAGGCGAAGCCCTGAAGCCTTTTGAGAGTCTGCAGGAATTCCTGGTCTTGGTTCTAATCATTAGATAACCAGTTCTGCTGGAGGTAGGTCCATCCATCTTCATTGCTTTATGATTCATACAGTGTCCTCCCAAGGACAAAGACTGTGTTTTTCCCTTATCTCTAAAACATAAAAAGATTATTAACATTCATTATGGGAAGGGTCTTCAAATCCTTCTAAATTGGAATGGTTTTATTCATTAAAACATGTGGTAGTTTCTGCCGTTTTTCCTCTCTTTTTGGAATTCCACAAGTGATTTCTTAGCATTTGTTCTTGGAAAAAGCTCCTTTAAATGGTGGAGTCTGTGGACAGCTATTTGGATACATCTGCACGCCTCTCAGCAGTGAATCTCTAAGGACATGAAGATTCTGTTTCGCTGGAAAAGGGAGCGGCACTCAGTTTGTGAAAGGAAAACAGAAATATTTTAGACTTCAGTGAAATGAGATAAACAATTTTTAGCTATTCTTGTCGTCCCTCCACAAAGGAGATAGGCTCAGTATGACAGAAGGTTATGGAGTTTGTTTTTTTGATGTCAGGAAAGCCATGTTAGTGTTTGTTTGCTTGCTTCTAAAGGTCTTGTTTTCTTAGATTCATTCACCTGCATAATTTGATGAAGAGTTTATTGTTGTTGTTGCTGATTTGTTTGTGTGGGGATTTCTATCTGGGAAATCCATCTTGGGTTTTTCCCAAAAAATATGCCAATCTCCAAAGGAGTTATAAATGTATAATACCAAAAAAGGACAGATATAAAACCCCAGCAAGTACCATATGTCCCTCCATAAGAATTGTGGAAAGACAGATACAAACTAAAGTTATAAGTTCAAGTTTTGATTGAAAAGTTACATGATGATCATCAGCTCAAAATTTTCCCGGACTGGGTCAAGGAAGCTCAGTCATAGGTCAGTTTTGTCCATTCTCTCTTAATATCAAGATAAGGTGCTTGAAGTTGAGGAACTATCTATTAATATTAGTCTGTTATTGGAATATTTAGTCTTTTGCCATAGTTTATAAAACTTCAAAGTAGTTTTAAGACTATTGGCACAGTTTATAAAGCTTTAAAATAAAGCAGACATATTATTTGCTGTGATATTTGGAGCATACAATTATCCTTGGCTCCTCAGTGTGCTGAGAAATGACCATGTAACCGTCTCATGTACTACTATTCATTTTATATGCAAGTTCACAGACATGCAGACATGCCAGTTTCTACACACTCAATGCAAATAACTTCATCAGTGATTTAGCATGACAACATGAAAGTCATCTTTCACGACTACCTACCTTGTTCATTCTGCTGCTTCCACAGTCTCAAGATTTCTACCAGTATCATTAATTTTTTTTTGTTCTTGTTTTATCTTAGTGATGTATATGGTCAATAGTGCAATGATTCTACTCTTCGGATGAAAGTTTTTCTCCTTCTTTCAATAGTTCCTTGTAACCTCACCATTTTTAAATTGTCATGTTCTTCAGCTGGGGATTTAGTTCAGTGGCATAAGCACCTGCCTTGCAAGCAGGCGGTCGTGAGTTCAATCCCCATTACTGGGAAAAAAAGAAAAAAATGTCATGTTTTTTTCTGAGCAAACATCTTTTAATCCTACTAAGTTTTTATCTTTTCATTTTTAAAGAATACGTATCTATTTAGGTGCTAAAAATATTCATTCTATTAGTTAGAAATTATATCCAAAAATAAAGCCTTAGAATTCCCAGGGCTGTGAAGGAGAAGAAGGAAGGCAGGACCAAAATCCTGGAGGCAATTTGGGAAAATTTTTAGTTAGAAAACAGTGTCTCCCCAAAAGAAACTTGTGTCTGCAAATGATACTCTAACATATTGTAGTAGCGCCATAGCATGATGGAGAGATCCTGGGAAGATTGTTCAGACTGTTTGATGTTGATGATTTAAAAAAAACAAACAAACAAAAAAAAAAATCCAAAGTACAAGCTTTCTTAGTGGGACTCTTCCCAAAGGGAAAAAAGTGCCTACCCATACAGTTTCATCACTGGCCTGAAGGCATTATAGTTTATTTCAGCCAATTAAATTAATAATTACCTGAGGGGATCTTATGAGAGCACCCTTCTGCTGGGTGAGTCCCTCCCACTCCTGATATGATTAAAACTCCTCAACTTCAAATTTTCGTATTGTAGTGACTACTTCTACTTCAAAGGAATTTACAGAGTAATTTGGGAAAGCACCTTCTATATATTCCCTTCATTTTCTGATTTTGTTTTTGGGAATGTTTTACAGAATATTTTCTACAGGACCATGGCCTAGGCTATACCTTTTCCTACTTTTACTGTAAATAGCTTTTATATACCAAATTATCATTACATAAAAGGTGGCACCATGCTTGTTAGTACACTCAGGGGTAAAGTGACCCAGGTTATACTGAGTTTGTTGACATGTTTCCAAAATGGATTTCCAGTATAAGCTGCTTTATTGCTGACAACAAAATGATAATTCCAAGCATCCTATCTTGACATATGAAAAATCTGAATGATAATGCTGATTAACATATCTTTTGCATTTAAATTACTATGTTTTTTAAGAAGAGAAAATTGTACATTTGGTGAGTTGTTTGCATAGTCAAATAAACATACATCAGGATGTGCAATCTAGTAATTAAGTACACTTATCTGTTTGTGGCAGCACTGGAAAATACACTGAATGAAGACACCAGGGGCAAAACACTCCTACTTGGGTGTCTTCAGGAAACATGACCTCCCATAGCCGATTCAGTGCTTAAAACTAAACCCAAGAAGCTTTGCTCAGTAGCTGGTTACTTTAGTTAAGTATTTATATAGCACAGTTTTTTAGTAGTTTATATTTTACATTTTTATGTATTTGTATATGTGTCATCTTAGAGTTCATAATTTTATTTGACCAAACAAAAATCCAATTCATTCACTTCCTATTGTCTTGAAAATCTACAAAATAGACACAAGTTAAAACGTCCTATATTGACCAAAGTTCAAAGATAGGAAGGCAGAAAAAGGCAAAATACTTCTGTGTGAAATTACGGTTTACTGCCAAACTTGGCAGTTCACATATCTTGGTTGTCAGCAAATACTCTACTCCTGACTTCACGTTTTTTTTTTTTTTTTTTTGTGAGTGTGTTTTTTTTCTACTAAAATTCACAAGTGATTATAGCATCTATTTTTCCTCTAAATGTGCTCAAATATTACTGTGAATATGTATTACAAAGAATGTATATTTGTTTTATTATGTTTGTTTTCTTAGTAGTAAAGTTTGAGGTTGAGCTCTTAACAAAACAGTAAACTCCCTATCCGAAATCTCTCATAAGCATGAATCAGTCCATCGTAGTTCTTATACCCTATCATATTTAAATATTCTAGATAATTTGGCCAACCGGTTTTATTATGTTATAGTATGTAACTGTAGTAGGTCAGTGTGAGAATTTGGGACATGGGGGAGGAGTGCCTTAGAACAGGGAGAGATTTAAAGAGAGGATAGGGAAAAAGGAAATTCAGAGGAAAGACATGAGAGAAGCTTTGAGAAGAACAAGCTAAATAGAATTTTGCTCTGTTGGGTATAATAATGTCATGCATTCATGTCTTCATGAAATCATCAGTTGCAAAAATTATTCAAAAGTGCTGTTGGGAGAGATATTGGAATTTGTGCTTTTACTGTGATTATAACGGCATGCTGATCTGTTGAAAAGAACTTGACTGAAAGCATTCGAAAAATTTTATTGTGGTAATTTGCATCCTGGCTATGACCTATTTGACAGTTGCAGAAGTTTTCAATTTAGTGGAGGGGCAAAGCAGCATAAATTTATAAAATTAAAGAACCTTTCAGAATTAATACTAGAGGAACCTATGATACGAATTCATCCCACTGGAGGAAGTAGTACTGTGGATCTTGGAAATACTTTTCTATTGGATTTTGAAACTATTGTTTTCCACATTTTATGGAGGGACAGTGATGTCCAGTTATAATGATAAGCAAAAAAAAAGAATTTAAGAAAGATAGTTATGTTTATTATACCTGAATATTCAATTTTGTTTTAGATATCCAAAAACAATAGATATTTTGGAGTATATGTTTTTAATAAAATATGATCCTACATAATATATTCAACAGCCATTTTAAATAATATGCTACTATACTATTTTATATGGACAATTCTTATGTTATTGGTTAAACTTAAATTGTAGTCTCATGAGCATGGGGATAGATACAAGTGTAAGTCTAAAACAATTATTCATATATATATATTGATTACATATATCAACAAAATTACATGGACCATTTGTTTAAAATCCAAGTTCTTAGTCCTTATGAATTTATTCTTATGGAACAAGAATCTGAAACTACAAAATGTAGGAAATCAAATTTTTATAAGATCTTAGATACTATTACACATGGTAGACTTTGATAGCTGATCTGTACCTTTAAAACTTCTGGATAGTTTTAGACAGGCATTCAGATGCAGATAATTCAAGATACTGTCCTTTGTTACAAGTAGGAAATGTTGACACTTAGTGCTGTTGCTTGAGCTATAGCGAAACTTTTACTCTGATTTGCCTTCATCTGAAACTATTCTTCCTTGGCACTGTACTCTGCTCCTAAATACTAACAGCCATGACAACAACAGAGAAAGAAAGCAGAGATGTAACTATTGTGATGTACACATTCATTCATTCTTTATTTAGAAATTATTTATTAAGTAGCTAAAATGCAAATAATGACTTTAGACATTACATTTGCATTATTAAAGGTAAAGTAAGTGGTGCTCTACATTACTCTGCTGATAATAAAATTTGAAGATAATTCACCCAATAAATACATGCAGGTTCCTTAATTTTCTTTATAATTTAATCCATGATATAGTTTTCATTGATTCTTCTACAAAATCACCTCAATAATCTTTTTCTCTGGGTAAGGGATTCAAGAGACTATTTACATGTTTTGGGATACCTGAATGAAAATATAATTTAAAAATATTTGGCAATTTACATTCTGTTTACTTAAAATATATTAAGCAATTTGTTAGTTACTTTATTTTTTATTAAATAGGAATTAGAA